TCAAGGTTTAAATAGATAATACAACCCACTAACACTAGATAGACTCCACTAATAGCAATAACCTATTCTTTATCAAAGTTAGGGACTGTTTGGAATACCTGATAGAAAGGAGAGGATAGGATAACTTATCATATTCTGTTTTTATCTTTTGTTTGGTGGGTCAGTAGGATATGATTAACTTATCCCGTTGCCTTATTTTATCCTACCCAACACATGATAACTTATCCTAAAGGGGGAGTTGAGTTAGGATTAAATAGGATAGGATAATAATATTTGATTCCCAACGTATCCCTAGCCTTTTCCATTCAAAAGAAAAACCTAACACTCACTCAACCAGCAACGTCCAGCCTTTCCACTTCCGGCAAACGACGAGCAGCGAGCGGCGATCGGAAACCGGCGACGAGCGGACTTCCGATGAAGATTCTCTTATTTTAGGTTATCTCCGTTCTCTTTTTCTTTTCTTTTTTCACTTTAGATTTTCTGCAGTTGCATTATTTCAAGATGATGACAATACATATGAGATATTTATAAGGGATTAAAGCAAGTCATAGTGAAATCTAAAGATACAATTTAGATTCCCATTTTTTCCTTTTTGTTAAGAATACAGTTTGGAGATCCTGAAGAAAAGTCCCATGTTTTTCCCTTGTTGTCTTATATCAATACCCCTTTTTTCGTTGCAATCAAAATTAGGGATTCTGTGTTTTATTTTAATTTTTGGGGATTTAAGGCTTATTTTTTGGTGTTGTTCTCAAATTGTTTTATTTTGGTTGATTATTTTGATTTTTTGGGGATTTAAGGCTTATTTGTTTTGCAATCAAATTGTTCTCTATGGTGTTTTTTTTTGAATTTTTGGCTGATTTAAGGCTTTTTTTTTGTTCAACTAAAGGGTATCCCCATTCAACCTCCTCTAGTCACCTTGTCATCAGAGTACGGCCCGAAGACTACCCCTCATTGAAACAATGGGTGCATTGAGTTTCGCTACCGGAAGAAGGATGAGACTAATCCCCCTTCCAGAAGAGAGGCATGTCCTCTGTCCCCCAAATTTTTTCCAAGAATTTGCTTGAGACAGAGTTTGAACCCCTGACCCAAGCAAATTCTTGGAAGCTCAATTGCCAACTGAGCTACCCTTGGGTGTTGCTGATTGTTCCTCTTTGTGGAAGCTATAACGTGAAGTTGTTTAGGGTAGTATGGAGGACTGCATATATGGTTTTCATTGCTGTTATAGCTATGCTATTTCCATTCTTCAATGACTTTTTGGGGTTGATTGGTTTACTCTCATTTTTGCCATTGATGGTTTACTTCCCCATAGATATGTATGTTAAGCGATCCAACAATAGAGTTTCTGCATACACCACTTTATATTGTAATTTCTTTGTTTTCCAGTTAGCTACATCAAGGTAGTGAAGATAATGTTCTTCTGTCCCATTAATTCATAAACTCTCTTTTTCTATACACAAACATGAGTGTGTTTTTATAAAATTCAAATGCTTCAAGCCCACATACAAGGTGTATGCCCAATTGCCCATACACAATGACTCTAAGTTACTTCTAAATTAGTAGCTACCTAAACTTGTTTATGCTATTTGTAATTGCTTTTATTATGCTTTCGTATTGGACAAAAGTCATTTCATTAAATACAACCAAAGACTTGCTTGCTTTAACTTCCTTAGTTACTTATTTTAGTACCATGCCTTTTAGTTTGTCATTGGCATTGCTTGGCAGATTCATTTTGCTTAGGATTTTTTTCTTTTTTATTACCTCGCTGAAAGCTTGTATTTGTGAGAAGGTTTTTGATCTTAAACCTTTCTCCAACAATGGAAAAACACTTTTCTAATGATCTTTGATCCAATCTTTCTCCATTTTTGTATTGTAGTATTTAACACTCATTCTAAGACTTCTTAATTTTTGTTTGTCTAATTTATGAATTATTATTTGGTAATGTGATAAGAATGGTATCTAAGAATATCATGCAACAAAGTGGCAAGAAAAGAAGAGATCGTAGGCAATGGTCTAATGAAGAGGATGAAGCTCTTCTTGATATTTTAATTGAAGTTGTGAATCCAGATCAAAGACTTGACAATGGACAATTCAAAGCACATACCTTACGAATGACAGAGAAAAAATCGGAGGAAAAATTTCCTGCTTGTGGAATTAAGGTGAAAGTCTGCAATGAAAAGATCAAGGGCAATTTACGCCATAGTTTATGACATGCTAAATCAAAGTGGATTTGGTTGGGATGATGAAAAAAAATGACAATGGTGGACAGTGACTATGTGTGGACCGAGTATATTAAGGTTAATACTTGTTTATTTTTCCTCTATATTTTAATCTTATTTCCCTTAGCTTTCTATTAATAAATTAGCGAAGCTTTTATTTTTGTATTATCTTGCAGAATCATCCTAATGCAAAAGATTATAGGAATGCATCAATCCCACTTCTCGATAAGCTTGCTCTTGCTTTTGGAAAGGATCGTGCCACTGATAAAGTAGCAGTTACCCCTGCTGATGTTGTTAAGGAGCTGGATAATGAAAATGAAGAAGAAAATGATGATGATATTAGAGTTGAATTGTCTCAATCAGATTCTGTCAACAAAGCACAATTAAGAGAAAACATGATCAGAATGAAACTCAGCCAAGAAAAAAAAATGGAGGAGCGCAAGCCATTGCTAATAGCATATCTGAATTGGGAAAGAGTTTAGAGAAATTGCTAAAAAAAAGCTCAGAACGATTGGAAAGAGTTGCAGATCGCCTTAGAGTTGCCAAAGATGTATTTGATAATTCTATCGACCTCATGAATGAATTGCAGAAAATTGATTCAACTGAAGAAGAGTGCTTGGCTGCAGCATATAAGATGCTATTTGTGCCCCATCGGTTGCATATTTTTATAGGATCTAATGATGTTGTTCGTCTTACATTCGTGAAGTCATTGATAAAGAGATTGCTATGGAGATTATATATTTATCTTGACTTTGTTGCTTTAATTATCTGATTAGATATAATGTCTATGGAAATGATTTGAGAACTTGAGAACCATTATCTATTTTGCTTGACTTTATTCCATTGTCAATGTGCTCTTCTAGTAAGGTCGAATAATGGTTTTGCTTACTACATTGGGTTGCCAAATTGGTTGTTGGTTTGTTGCATTCTTCAGTTAGGGCTTTAACTTTGATAATCTTTACTTACAATTTAGTTGGCTTTTGTCATAAGTATTTTGTCATTTGTCATGCATAGAATATCAAGTAGTAGCAACTTGGACATACTATGGATCCTATAATTGGGGCATAAGTGCATGAAATATATATTTTTTCTTCTTCTTTCAATACATGCCACTGCTTAATCACAGTGCTATGAGGCAAAATGACGGAAGAAATTTGAGATAAACTTAGAAAAATTTGTAATTAGATACAATTTAATATATTTTATTTCATAGTTAATGTGTAAAAATCTTCGTAATTATGTATTTTTAATATATTTTATTTAAAATAATGAATTTAAATTTTTTTAAATAATTTAAAATAGGAAATAAATAAATAAATTAAAAAGTTTAAACATAAAATAAAAAAATTTATATGAAAATTTATTATTGAGGGTATTTTTGTCTATTTAAAGCATATCCTGGTGCACTATCATGCCCATATCAGATAGCTTATCTAGTGCACATCAAACACATGATAGGATATGAGCTTATCATGCCCATGTCATATCCTACCCTTATCCAATCCTCTTATACTATCCGTCCTTATCCTATCTTGTCCACCAAATGAGTCCTTAAATTCAAATAACAAAACAAACAAAATAAGTATCCCTACCCACTTCTTAAACAAACCAACAATTTAAAAAATAATTAAATAATAAAAATAACCGTAATAGTATCCTTAGTAGTCATTCACCACATATAAAACGTGTGTTTCGCAACAAAACTTAAAATAAAAAAACGAAACGATTTCATTTTTATTTAGACAATTAAATGAAAAATGGAGAAAGCATGAAGATAATTCATTATATTCAGGTAATCGTATTTGTAAGATTAGAATTTTATTTATATAAATTTTGTATAACTAGGAACTTCGTAACAAAAGTAACACCTCATCATAGCTTCGTAAAATATAATAATAAAGTATGGAGATCGGTTTGGATGAGCTCGTAAAAAGTAATATTTTATGACTTGCTTATTTTAATAGTATTTTTTATAAAGGGAAAAATATCTATCCTTTTAAAGGATATAAGTTTATATCTTTTTAGATTCTAACTGTTGATTTCTGTCCATCAACGGTTATAATCTATTGGGCCAAACTTAATGGGCCAAATCTATTATTAATTAATTAATAATTTTAATCCAATAAATTATAATCGTTGATGGACAGAAATCAACGGTTAGGATCTAAAAAGATATAAGTTTATATCCTTTAAAAAGATAGATGTTATTCCCTTTTATAAAATATAAAATTATTTAGATTTAAAAAAATTATTTACTTATAAAAAAATATTAAATTTTTGACTACTATTTTTTTAAAAGATAAAATTTTTAGTTTTTATTTAAAAAAAATTAGCTTTCAAAAAAATGTTTTTAAATGTTTTTTGTTTTTTTTATAACTTCTATTTTTTTTTTTTTTTTTTAAAAAGACATCTAAACGATTTACATCGTAAGTGTGTTTTTTTTTCGCTTTTCGCTAAAAAAAACTCCTCCAGTGTGGTTATAGTCGGCAAAACGGATTCGGCTCAGCGGGCCAATCCGTCTAACCCGCTAAACGGGATGGGGCGGGCTGAATTTTTCAATCCATCTCAAAAGTGGAGCGGACTCATTTTTTGGCGGGTTGATGGCGGACATAGACGAGTTGAGGCAAGTCAGTATAAAATAGACTCGGGCTGATGGATCAATCCACCCAATCCGCCAAGCGAGACAACCAATCTTAACAAACGAGATAGAGCAGACTGACTTATTTACTGACGGGGTGGATCGCCCACTTTGCCATCTCTAAATGTGGTATGGATACGGAGAAGAGAGACCCCTCCTATATAAGGGAAGAGGAAAATTATTGATTCATCCACTGACTCTCAAAAACTAAACTCTCTCTCTCTCTCACTCTCTTTGTTTCTGTTTCTCTCTCAACCTGATTCTAACCCAGTAAACCATTTCATCATATATCCACTTTCTTGCTCTCTTTTTATCCAAAATTAGCAACTTTCTGTACAATTCTCCACCGACGATGCAGACTCAGTTTAAGGAATCGTTGTTGATGCCTGTCTTACGTAATCACCGTTTCCATGTATCTGTGCTTCGATCTATAACAATCATAATGAATGCCATTCACCCCAAACTTGTTTACCATGTGTTTTTATTTTCCTGCTTCTTCTTTTTTTCTTTTCCTTTTTTTTTTATGGTTGCGTATTCAACAAGTGTACTTGTTCATTGGGTTACCATCTGATCTGGGAAAGTAAAAAAAAAAAAAAGATTTTTGGTTTCTGATTGTTGGAGGTTTTTGGTTGTTTGATTAGTTTTGATTGGGATGATGAGTTTGATGAGTACAAGTGAATGGAGATTTCCACTTTGATAAGAAAATCCTTTTCTTTTTTGGGTTTCTTTTGGTTGTATAATTGTAGAATATCCCATCGTTTGGGAATAGTATACTTCTTCTCAAAGTTTTCTTCTTTGGGGTCTTCTTCACCTTATATTTCATCCTCAATTTTCTCTATTTGAGTCACCCTTAATCAAGCGTTTTATAAAATGATCGGTCCTGATTTTTTGGTTTGATATTTGTGAAAGTAATAGCTATTTGTCTTTCTGATGATCCTCAGTTTCATGATTCTGTAGGTGTAAGTGCATGCCTTTTGGTACTTTTGATTTATAATGGCCATAGTAAATGGAGACAGATAATCGTGTGATTCAGCTTTCCCTTTTTTTACTTTTGTGTCACATAATTTGTTTTTATAAGCATGTTTTTCTTTGTAGGTTTGAGACCTGAGATTTGCTAGTCAATTATATTTTTGAGGTACATGTTTTTGCAAGTTAGAACTTAGAACAATGTGTAGAGTTTCAGATGCTACAATTAAAGAAACGGAAATTAATTAATGTAGTAATACATTTGCACATATTTTCATAATTCCCAGAAGTGTTAGCTCTTCTCTTCTGCAAAGTTTGGGCACTGTGTAAGGTTGGCAGTGCCCATGGATGCCACAACCAGCGGAACCCCAACTATCCAATACCATAACATCCCTGATCAACCAATTACTGCCATTGTTGCCACACCACTGCCAACATTTCAACGTCAGCAACGCCATTGCTTCGGCGGCTCCGGTCTAGGAGAGTTTTTCTTATCTGCTAATCCCTCCATTGTCCTTCATGTCCTTACAGCATGTAATTTGGATCATCAAGACCTTGCTAAACTTGAGGCAAGTGCTGTGCTTATCTGCTTTTCAGCTGCTAAGTTGCTACTTGAATAATACTAATGCTAATTCTGCTTGTTTCTTTTCTAATGTGGTTTTTGCAGGCAACATGCTCCTTCTTCAGGAAGCCAGCAAACTTTATTCCTGATTTCAGTTTGTCCTTGTCAGAGCTTGCTGCATTGGACATGTGCCAGAAGAGAGCCATCTTTAAGCCAATGACAACAGAACAACGTCAGCATTTGAAGCATATATGTGGGGGTTCTTGGAAATTGGTTCTGAGGTTTTTACTAGCTGGAGAAGCATGTTGTAGGAGGGAGAAATCACAAGCAATAGCAGGTCCTGGTCATAGCATTGTTGTGACATCAAAAGGGGCTGTTTATTCATTTGGGTCCAATAGTTCAGGACAACTTGGGCATGGCACCACTGGAGAGGAATGGAAACCCCAACCAATCAGGTTAGAACATTTGAACATTCTATAGATCTGATAGCTTATCCTATGAACTTAAGGAAAAGTGGAAGCTGAACTAGTTGAATTAAAGTTAACAGAACTCCATTATGTTGCAGAGCTTTGCAAGGAATCCGAATTATACAAGCTACTGTTGGGGCTGGGAGGACAATGTTGATCAGTGATTCTGGGCAGGTTTATGCCTTTGGGAAAGACTCTTTTGGTGAAGCTGAGTTTGGAATTCAAGGATCTAAAATGGCAACAACACCACAGTTAATCGAGTCTTTGAAAAGCATATTTGTTGTGCAAGCTGCAATTGGAAACTTTTTCACAGCTGTATTATCCAGAGAAGGCAGGGTTTATACATTTTCTTGGGGTAATGATAGCAGACTTTGTCACCACACCGATCCAAATGATGTGGAACCCCATCCTTTATTAGGTGCTCTGGAACACATACCAGTTGTGCAAATAGCTGCTGGATACTGCTACTTGCTTTGTTTGGCTTGTCAACCCAGTGGAATGTGAGCTTCAACTGTATCTCCTTACCTTGTCTTTTGCAATTATTTTTTAAAAAAAATAAATAAAATCCAATTGATAGTTATATCATATGCTACAAAATGGGCATTGTTTCATACTTCATTTCTTTATGCATATTAATGTTGTTGGTGTTAGATAGAATAAAGTTTGTATTATGATTTATTCTCTTAATGGCAACACATATATCTTCCATTCTGGTTTTTCAATAGCCTACATATATTTGCATTAGAAGTCCATAATTTCAAGATTCATGAAAGTGTTTAAGCATTGTTGATTAATTTATTCTCAAGTAAACTAGTCTTTACATGTGATCCTTTCAAATCTTGACAGGTCGGTGTACTCTGTTGGGTGTGGCTTAGGTGGGAAGCTTGGTCACGGATCAAAAACTGATGAGAAGTATCCTCGTTTGATTGAACAATTCCAGCTATTAAACCTTCAGCCCATGGTGATTGCAGCTGGTGCTTGGCATGCAGCGGTGGTGGGGCGGGATGGTCGTGTTTGCACGTGGGGATGGGGCCGTTATGGTTGCTTGGGTCATGGAAATGAAGAATGTGAATTAGTACCTAAGGTGGTGGAAGCATTGAGCAACGTCAAGGCAGTTAATGTTGCTACAGGAGATTACACAACCTTTGTAGTGTCTGATAATGGTGATGTATATTCATTTGGTTGTGGAGAATCTGCTAGTCTTGGCCATAATCGTAGAAATGATGGACAGGTATACTTTGCTTATGCCTTTTCCTTGTTTGAGTTGTGAATTATTTCATGTGCTTGTTTCAAGGAAGTGCCCTTTCCTTCTTGCTCTTCCTTTGATTTTTGCACCATCCTAACATGATGAACTGGTTACTACTTTATAATAGTTGGAACTTGTAGATGAGTTCCAAATATGAACCAGTTTGAAAATGAAGCTTCCATTTAAGGCTTATCCTTGATAAGGTCATAATATGAATTATGTGCTGTTAGCATTATATTCTTGGATTCATGTGCAAAATGTGCAGTGAACTCTGGATCACATTTTCTTATAAATTCCCTTAGAGCTAGGGCAAAAGTAGCACAAGCCTAAACGAGATGTTTATATTAGTGACTATAGTGCATCCCATGAAGATTTAATATTTCTCTGTCAAATATTAGGTAGACATTTAGTGAAAAAAATGTATTCAATGAGAAAGTCCTAATTTGAATGAAGTTGATCAATGATGTTATGTTTGTACCTGTGCAGGGAGACATGCATGCAAATGTGTCAACTCCAGAGCTTGTCACTTCATTGAAACGGGTCAATGAAAAGGTGGTACAAATTAGCCTGACCAATTCCATATACTGGAATGCTCATACTTTTGCCCTAGCTGAATCAGGGAAGTTGTATGCCTTTGGGGCTGGAGACAAAGGACAGCTAGGAGTAGAACTTGTTGCCAACCAAACTGAAAGGGGAGAACCAGAGCGGGTTGATATTGATCTTGGTTAATTGTTTGTGCCACTCCTCCCCAATTCTTTACACCATGTCCTCCTTCTATTTATGCTCACCCTGCATAGTATTTAGTGTTTTAAGTCCCTTGTTTATTCTGTAAATAGAATCAAAGAATCATCAAGAAGGGTCCAAACCATGCTAAATAACAACTTACATGGGCCTCAACTACTGTCATATTATGTGGTTGTTGATATCAATCCTAGGCTTCAACTAGATATTGATAGTTGATACATTGGTGAAGGTTTATTTGCTATTATAAGATCATTTGCTTGGACACTATTGGTGAACTTAGTATTCACTCATCATCTTTACCCTCCTGGTTTCGATCATTTAAACTTTATCACAGTGATCAAGAACAGGAAGCAATCCTCTGTTCTTAAGATGTGGTAGGCATTAAACATGATGGCTGTCTAACCTTCATGATCCTAAGTAACGTATAGTGTGGCTTCTGACCTATTTTGCAAAATGTCAGCTTTGTTCTTGCTTGTCACTTATAGACTTTCATTTAGAGTTCCTATTTTTTTTTAAAATTCAATTGATATATTTTTATTAATAATTATGAAAATATCTTGATTTTAATTGTTTTTCTTGTTTTCAAAAATGCGCAAAAAAATAGTGAAAATAAGAATTTGTGTAAATTTACCATTTGCTTTGTAAATTTTTGAAAATAGGAATTAAATTAACGGTAAGATGATTTTTTGTAATCATCAATTAAAACATATCAAGTAAAAATGAAAATAAAAAATAAAATAAATGCACCCTTACCGTTTTTAGTTTTTAACTAAATAAAATATTTATTTTATTTTCTATAAAATATTATGATAATGTATGATTAATTATATAAGTATTATGAAATAATTGAATGTCCAAATAATAATAGGTCAGTCTAGTTGGCAGGCTAAATATAGTCTTTTAAAGCCCTAAGTTTGTTTACCAAAAAAAAAAGAAGCCCTAGGTTGCTGGTTTTTTCACCTTTTTACCCGTCATTAATTATTTAATAATCATTTTGTCCCTTATTGCAAATTATCTATCAATTTGTCCCTATTTAATCGATTAAATAAAAAATTTAGTCGATTAAATGGTCAAATGAAGATTTAATCGATTAAATCATCAACTTAATCGATTAAATCTTCCTCTTTATCAGAAGAACAACCTTATGTATGGGAGATTTAGTCGATTAAATAGGGAGATTTAATCGACTAAATCTTCAAGTCAACGATTTTTGCCTATTTTGATCATTTAATCGACTAAATTTTTGTTTTAATCGATTAAAGAGGGGCAGATTGGTAGATAGTTCTGAAAAAGGGGAAAAATGGTTATTAAATAATTAATGAGGGGCAAAAGGGTGAAAAAGCCCTAGGTTTCTTTTCTGTGTAGTTAATTAAATTTTTTAAAAATATTTAAGTCTGACTTATTTGTTTAAAAATGGAAGTCAGAATAGATTAAAATTATGTTATTATGTCTCACTGTCGTGGAGCTGGAGAGCATTTTATTAACTGGAGCATTTTTTTTTTCTTCCAAAGATTTTTCAAGAATTTGTTTAAAGCAGAATTTGAACCCTGACTCAAGCAAATTCTTAGGAATTCAGTTGCCAATTGAATTACCCTTTGGGATTGATGGAGAGCATTTTTCGTACAGCCGTATTCAATACAACGGTTTATTATAATTATGTACTACGGGTAGTATATAATTATAATGGTCAAAAAAATTCTCTTTTTGCCACGTCAGCTGATAATGTCTGAGAAGAGAAAAAAATAATTTTATAATTATAACTATGTACTACCCATAATATATAATTATAATATAACTGTTGAACTAAATATTTTGTGCATATTAAATTTTTTCCGTGGAGGTGGTAGGATTGTAGGAGATGCTAAAGAAAAATGATTTTATTTTATTATCTAATAAAAAACTAAATTTCTCTCATGAAAATATTTTTATAGTCAAAATGTTGAAATATATTTCATTTTTGGGATAGGTTATTCTACCTATCATTTTTTCTGCCTACCTTTGCCTACTACCCTCCAACACCGTTAGATCAGAATCTCAAGAAGAGAGAGAAAGGTAAATCGAAGTTAAGATTCTGATCTAATGGTGTTTTAAAGTGGTAGGCAAATGTAGGCAGAAAAAATATTAAGTAGAATAGCCTATCCCTTCGTTTTTAAGAACTCGAAAATTTTAAAAAAAAAATTCATGATGCTTCTTAGGGATAGTGATTCTGCCTACTCTTATTTTTTCTACCTCTCTCAACACCGTTAGATTACAATCTCATCTAATGATAGAGATTTACGGTATAAAATCAACCTTTTTACCCCTTCCTCTCTCCCACTGCCCCTCATCCTTTCTCTCTCCTCCCCTTTTCTCTCTCTGCGGCATCAGAATACTGAAACGACGATTTTGCAGTTTCTGTATACCAAAGCGATTCTGAAAGGCGTTAAGCTTCGCAAATTCAATCATCCTTTATTTGTAGTTGACAATCTGTTAATAGAATTTTTAAAATATTATGTTATATAAAAAATAAGGATCAGATTCATGGTTTCATCCCATATCATTGCTTTTTGTGAGGATATGAATTAATAGAACTTAACAATTATGAATAAATATATATTGATATATTTCATTTATGAATCACAAGAAAGAATTGTCCAATTTATCCACACACAAAAAGGATCGTCCAAATCCAGATTTGAGGTTCCAAACCATTCTTAGTCATTCATACCCCCAATCTAATTTATCGTGTTGCGTTTGTTGGACAAGTGGCTTCAATACTCAAGAGGGGGGTGAATTGAGTATTACAAAATCTTTTCGCAAAGTGCCTCCTTTGATATTTTAAAGACTATTTTTTCAATAAAGTGATTTAATAAGGAAAAATCTAAGTGTGAGAGCAAGTGTAAAGATTAACAAAGTAAGCAAGCGAATGGATAAAGACAATCTAAAAATGCAATTTCAATACTTAAGTAAAGAGGTAAAGGTTAGAGAAATCGCAAACTAGATGTATCCTGGTTCGGTCACCACCACCGTGACCTACGTCCAGACTGAAGCCGCTCGATCAATACTTTTCACTAACTATCAAGCTTGAGGGTGCTTGACAAACCTCTACAACCTTTCAAGACTTCGGGTTCTTGATGCCTCACAATTTTTTACTCCAAATATTTTTAGGAATTTGGTGACCTCTCTAGTATAGGGTTCACTCCCCTCTCAAATCAAGAAGTAAGGTTGAGGTGATTAAAAGTGGCTAAGTACTCTCAAAGTACAGATTGCACAAATTGAAGAACTAATAAATGTATAGCTTCAAAGGAAAGATGAGCTCAAGTGTATGCAATGAGTAGAGTAAGTAATCAATGAGCAATAATGGGCTAGAATGAGTAATAAAGGTTCAATAAATGATCTATGGTCGTCCACAGTTCATTAGTGTTGATGTGGGTATTTATAATGACACCTTATTTGAAAACTATCCGTTTCTAGCCGTTGTGATCCGTACATATCCGGATATTTGTCGAGCACATATCCGGATATTGATATGCGGATATTCACAGTGAAATATCCGAATATTTCATGGCAGCACCCTTTTTGCACGAATTCTGAGTTTCTTTTCTTTCAAAATGGTTTCTATGACTTGCAATGCATATAATTGGTTAGGAAAACTATTTAGAAATGTTTATATCATGTAGGTACCTTTTCCAAACCAATATTCGACATATCAAACCATTTGTTTCGACTTTTCTTCAAGGATGCATTCTTTTAAAAATATATGAGTGATGTAAGGCCATGAATATTGTGAGTATATTTAGCCATGATGCTTACGTGCTTAAGTCACTTGAAAACCTTTTAATGCATGCTTGACTTGTTAGATCAAGGCTCTTTAAGCTCTTTATGATATGAATGACTTGAGCTCATGCAATGCTAGAATTTATACACCTTTACATATTTTCCTAAGTCCTAAATGAATATACCATTGAGATCTTGGACTTGGCTTGATGCTTGATTTTCATGCTTTCACATTTGCTTGATTTCTTTTGGATGTTGCTTCGTCTTTGAGCATTCCTTTTCACGTTTGTTTATTATCATCAAAACTATGCTGACTTGGAATCATCAAGTGTGTTATCTTTGAGTACGTGGCAGCCACATCATCACTTTGATTCTTCAGCGTTTTGATTTTGAATCTATCAATTACAAGTGTATCAAGAAGGATGATTGCAATTTTCAAAAAAGAAGAAGAAGAAGGATGGTTGCTGCAGCGAGGAAGAAAGAAAGGGGAGGAGAGAGAAAGGGTGAGGGACAGTGGGAGAGAGGAAGAGGTAAAATGATTGATTTTATACCGTAAATTAAATCTCTATCATTGGATGAGATTGTAATCTAACGGTGTTGAGAGAGGTAGACAAAATAAGAGTAGGCAGAATAACCTATCCATACTTCTTAAGATTATAAGTATAATTTTTTTTTGGATATTATAAATCGAAATAAGATATCACAATAAGGAGTCTCGCATAACTCTTTCAATATTAAGTATTCTTTGATAATTGTACTAATATTCTCTTCTTTTATTTCCATTTACATTTTTTATATCCAATTTCTTGATTTTTATGAAAATAATTATGTCTAATTGTTTCTAGGCTCTATCTCTCAATGTTTAAAAATTCGGCCAGACCATCGACCCGGCCGAGGTCAGGAGTCATGGGGTCACGGGGTCAAGGGATCACTACGCTGATCCGGTTTTATATATTAAAAAAATATAAATATATATATCCTATATGAAAATATTAAAAAAAAAACACCAATCATCAAAGATTCAAAATATACATAACATAATTCACCAATTACAACCACAAGCCAATATTACACAACATAATTAAAGTATCAAGATGCCAAAGTACAAAACTCATACTCTAATGGGGTCACTACGCTAACGCGGTTCTACCTCTTTTGATAAGGTCTCTGACAAAGAAAAATTTAAAGAAGTAAGAATGAGTTTTTGTTTTCCAGCGGCGACCGTAACGATTTCATTTAAATGGGTAAAATTCTTATCTTTTCTAGAAGATTCACGGCAGCGAGGTGAAGATTGAAGATGGCTAGGTCGCTGGGAGATAAGAGAACGATTAGATTTAGGTTTGCAAGCATTTTTATTTTTATTTTTTTAATAAAATGATATTGTTTCATGGAAAAAAATTTATAAAAAAAAACATGCAGCGACCCCCTTTGACCCCTCTGACCCTGGAGTCACTAAAATTCGGCCGAGTTTTGGGAGTCGGAGGGGTCGATATGCATATAGGGTCCAACTTGTGACTCCAACCCTCAGAGGGGAGGGGTCAGGGTTGACCCGGGTCAACCCGGGAGGCGGGGTGGGGTTTTAAAACACGGCTATCTCGTATTTTTATCTTCATTAATCGTTACTACTCAAAATCACTAAGATTTTTTTACCAAAAAAAAAATCACTAAGATTTAAGAATGAGCTAATAATTAGAATTTTATTTCCAATGGATGAAATAAAACATATTCACTTTAATTGAGTCAAAAAATAACTTAATAAAAGTAATTAATACTTTTTTTTAATAATCAAACTCCTATTTTTCCATTTGGATTTAGATTTTAGAGGGAATATTTTTAACATGTAGTTAAAATCTCGATTTAAATCTGCATTTTTATGATTTTACAATTTTTTGTAATCAAAACGATTTCACCAAAATTTCAAATGTTTTTACGTTTTTACGATTTTTTGTAGTTTAAAATTTTATGTTTTATGATTTTTTATCCTCTTTTCGATTTTAGGTAAAATCGCGATTTTACCTATCATGAATTTTTAAAACTGAAAGATACGACGTAATCCCCAAATCCTTCCTTATTGATTTTTGTAAACACTCATATCATTTTTTCAATTTATAGAAGGTCCCTTTTCCATTTCCCATCCAAAACATACCTAGAGCGAATATATTCTAGCAAAATTAACAAGACCCTCGTTGTTTAGTGTTTACCACACATTTTCCATTTGCAGTTCATACGGTCGGTGAAAAGCTTTGCAAATTGCAACTAACACTTATGTCAAATTAGGCACAAGAATCAAAATATATCATTTTCCAAACTTATTTTCGAACTATCCCACTTCGGGAAAAAAAAAAATTCAATCTACCCTTTTTTAAGTTTCGTTGTCCCCACTAAGACTAGGTTATTATCAAAATCATAAAAGTAGCGTATGTCTTGAGCCGTATTATTTTTAAATAATCCTTTTTTGTAATATATAACATTTTCGCTTTTACGTTTTGCTTTTATGGACAGTACTAGTCAGAATGTTTTGCTAATCATAAAACTGATGAGTTTTATCTTCTCTACATAATTTCCCTAAAAATAAAAGGATCAAAATGAAAAGAAAGAGAAAGAGGAGGGGGGGGGAGGGGGAATAAAATTAGCTAACGAGCTAGCTCACCAAATAAAGAGTTAATTATAAAAACTTAAGATTAAATTTCGCCTTCTCCTGTGCGTGTGAATAACAAAAAGGGACGAGAATTAGTAAATACAAGTAATGTCTCTATATAATTTTAGTTATTACAGCAACGATCCCCTAGATTGCTATCACAATGCCGCATAACAATTAACAAATTCGTTTTCTCTGTTCCCACATAACGAATAAACTCCCATTATATTACTGTAAATAGCCAAAAATAAACAAACCGGTTTAGACATCAATGGCTTACCTCACATTCCGCAATACCTCGTAAGCCTATATGAACCCGACCTCACAGCACTCATAAAAGAAACCTATATTCCTTAGAAAAAAAACATCAACAACAACAACAACAAAAGAAGCATTTAACGCATCCAACATATATAATGGCACGTGCACGACATGTTGTGGTTCTTGCTCTTGTCATGTTCGCCATCATTGGCTTGGCCTGTGCTACCGAGGCACCCAAACCCTCTGCCGATGACTATGAAGATGATGATAATGAGTATTTGACTGGAACCCGCAGCGGTGACGCTCCTTCACCAGACGGTGTTATTGCCGCACCCATCGGTGGACCCGTTCCTCCCGGTGCTTTTGATACTCCACCTTCTACACCTAGTGCTGCCTCTTCTTCCCTCCAACATGTCTCCGCCGTCGCCGGAGCTGCCACCGCCACTCTCGCTGGCTTCTTCTACTTCTGATCATATCATAATATATCATGTATATTATTATCATAACCGTTTGATCGTTTCAGAGCCGAGATGAAAACGTATCGAAATTGTTGAGAGTTGAATTGTAATGTAATGAAATGATGACATTGGGAAATCATTTTTCTCAATTTTTTTTTTTTTTCAAAGGGTCTTTATAAATCATTTTCATCATTTTTTATAAATTCTTTAGAATAAATATAAAGTAAAAATATAGTAACATTTTTATAATTATAAACATATCAAGTCAACTATAAAAAATAAAAGTTAAACCAAACGAATCATAAGTAGCTTGTCAAAAAGCTGTTATACTTGAAGGAATCGGCATCAGCAGACTATGCAAGGTAGAAGCAATCTAAAACTTACAAGATATATCGAGTAAAAATCTGTTAATCAGTTAATATTTAACAGCGTATCAGAATATTAGGAGAAAAATAGATACGAAAGTTTAATAAATGTAAAGAATTCATCATAACAGGGAATAAACATTGAACAACATATCAAAATAATGTTTTCTGAATATAGAATAAAACTTTTTTTTTTTTTAGAGTAAACACCATTTTTCGTCCCTGGCAATATCTACGAAGTCCTTTTCAGTCCCTGACAATAAAAAGGATCAAATTGGTCCCTAAAAGTACAAGAAAAGGGTCACTCTACATATTTGGGAGTTGACATAAGGACTGACATGGCCCTTTTTTTGTAATTTCAGGGACCAATTTGGTCCTTTTTTATTGCCAGGGACTAAAAAGGACTTCGTAGATATTGACAGGGACTAAAAAAGGTGTTTACTCTTTTTTTTAATACAATATAGAATAAAACTTTAGTACTACATTCGCAAGAGTTGACAAGTTTCTGAAAAAAAAGAAAAAAAAAATCTTAATCCCCGAAATATATAATTATGATAATATTATTAATATAGTCGCACATGGGTAGCAATTACTTTCCAAGAGCGCAACATGCATATACTTCATCTAAAATTTTGCGACCAACTGCGCTAGCAGTTCCCCATACATCAATGGGAAAAAATGATTAGATCAACCACCACGAAGCACATTTTTTCCTTTTTGTACGAAATGTTTCACTTGTGTGTTTGCTATACTTCATTGTAAGCATGTAAATTAAAATGTTTTTAAGGTAAAGGTTTAGTAGGGAAATTTACATTATTCACTTTAATAAATGGCAACTATACTTAATAAGTTATATATTTATTGGCGTGAATATTTAAAATTTAAATTTAATTCACAAATAAGTAAATTTTTCTGGAAACTTAATAAATCGGCAAGGATCATGCCCAAATAATGCGTAGCTAGTCCAGCTAATGAACCTACTGTACACAGTCGTGAATACCACAAGTCATGTCTAGCTAATGTGCCAAAAAAATTGTTTTTGATTTTGATCATCATTAAAAATATCCAAATTGTACATTATGTACCCAAAAATGCAAAAATATGTGATTCACATTAACACAATTCTAACCTGCACTAGTGCTTATTAGTATTACAATTCAATCTCAATAAATTCAACCTCCTATCTATAGAAGTACTTAATGGAATGATCGGTCCCAACAACAAATGAAAAAATGCAGAACTTTATCAAACTCTAAGCTGAACACCAAAAATTGCAATTCAGCTCAGCCAACTTTTTGTCAAGGATTGATTTCTATCTAACCATCAAGTACCCTCTGGATCTGCTGGCAAACTAAATTTGCCACATGAAACTGACTGCTTAGGGAGAACTGCAGGAATAAAAACTCGAAATGCATTTTTTCACTGAATATACATATTTTACAGTCACTTCTACAACCTTGAATAAAGGTAGGAAGAAAGAGAAAGACGTGAATTGAGGATCAAAATAACCTGACATTCATTCAACCTTTTGATCAAGAAACACCGTCCATGATCAGTTAATTTGTCTTTGCTTTAATACATCCCCTTGAAAACAGGATTTGTCCGGCAAATGCTTGCTCCATATTCCTCATATTCGGCCTTTGTGTGACAAGCCTGCACTTTGGGCCACGAAATTTTAAAACAAAAATAGGCTAGCTTTGCATTGAGAAAAGGGCAGCTATTATAGGAAGGAAAAATTAAGAAATGATGGACTCTTGTTTCGCTGGGAGAACGAATTCAATGAAATTATCACAACAAACATTACGAAAAAACTTGCTGTCTTATTTCAAACTGGCCCAGTTTCATAATTCTAAACCTAGCAACCAATACCATATACTTTGTAACCATGTAGGCAATCATAAATTCGTTTAACCACATGGGAAAGCATTTAAAATGAACGCGGGTTATCAATGCCAGGCAAAGAGGCAAAGACAGCCATATAAGGGGCATTGCCATGCAATCCTCATGGACAAGAAATAATTTAGGATTTATTGCCAACAAATAAAGGTATAGCCCAAACATACAAATCCATACTATCCAATACTAACAGTCTTTCACTAAAAGTGGTCAAGGTCAAAAGAGAATATTGTTTTAATTTTGGACACGATACTTATAAGTCATATATCATAACAAGGAAGAAAGTGACTCATTGAATAAGTATCCAACAGTACATCAAGATACGTGTTATTAGAATAAAAAAGTGGCGATTATGGGATGCAAGCACTGACCCTCCTAACAAAAAAATTAAAAAAAAATTAAAAATGTATAGTTGCATACCGCAAAAAATTCAGGTGTTGATGCGAGCACTGAGCCTCCAAACCAAACTGCATATCTCTGGATAGGATGGCTGAGTACATTGACTTCCACTGGCTGCGACTGTGAGCTCCAAATAAACAAAATGAAAAATGTAAATACCATACCAAGCAGTAAATATATTGCGGTCACGCTTTTCATAAATGCATCAATGTGACACTGTGTGTCCCTTGACTGCACAAGTTATGTAAATCAAACCAATTAACAACTAACACATCATTATTTTAAATATAAAATAAATGACGCACAGAGATTTATGTAATTCTTTAATATAAAAAATGGCGTGTCAATTGTGTTAGCATACCCCCTAATTAAAAGGGTCTATGTTAGGAAGAATAAGGGGTTTAGTAGGGGATTAGGACCAAACTCGATTAATAACAAAATAACTACTAGTATCCAATAATAAACGGGTATAGGGGGAGTTAGTTAGAGTCAGTTGAGAGATGTGAGAAGGAAATTAGAGGGGATAGAACTACGTCTCTTGAATACCTGAGAGTTAGAGAGAGAATGTGCACATTATATCATTCTGGATATCTGATTTTGCATCACATTGATACTGATCAAAGTGGTTTTCTGCAATTAAGATCCGTTGTTCTACCTTTATCTGATCCAGTTCCCACATTGTATCATTCTGGATATATCTGGTTTTGTATCACATTGATACTGATCAGAGTGGTTTTCTGTAATAAAGATCCGACGTTTTACCTATTTCTGATCCAGTTCTATCCTATTTCTGTATCATTCTGTGTGTGTGTGTGTTCTACCGATTTCTGATCCAGTTCTATCCTATTTCTGTATCATTCTTTGTGTGTGTGTGTGTTCTACCTGTTTCTATCCAGTTCTATCCTATTTCTGTATCATTCAGTCTGTGTGTGTGTGTGTGAGTGAGAGACAGAGACAGAGACAGACAGAGAATCATCAATTTAAATAAGGCTTAAAAGTATCTATTAACTCTTACTTTTATCTCCCCATTTAGACGCGCTTCAGATGAAAGGACACGGGCATCCACAATTTTCTTTAGATCACGTTGCAATCTCCTATGAAAATCCTTGAACATGGTCGATCCCCCCGACAGCACTATATTCTGAAATAAAAAAAGACAAAATGGGCAACAGGTGAAGTGTTCCATCATTAAAAACATGTAAACTACAGGGCTTGAAATTTATAAAGTCAGAAATTAAATATCTGGGCTGGGCTGGTGGATTGTATAACACTTGACATTAACGTACTGCATTTGGACCAACAATAGAAAATGCCCCATGCACATTGAGCCTTAGAAGTTCCCAAATTTTAAGGTAAAAAGTGACTACTACCTAAAACTTTAAAGTTCAAAGAAATCATGTTAAAACAGCAAATCATAAAATTTAGGCCTTCAAAGTAGCCACTTTTGGGGTTGACTTTATGTACATGTCAGTACGTAAATCAATATATGGTACTTCACCTTATATAATGATCTTCTAGTGTCAATTGGCGCAGACTGAATGCACTTATCTATTACAACGGGCAAAGGGGTGGTAAAGTCGCTGCTATATATCTCAGGATTAAAGAAAACCTGCAGAAACCAAAGGGTAAACATACAGATATGTTAAATTCACCAACCCTGCTGATATAATGACCCAAATCTATATCTTATTTCCCCAATTATACCTCGGAACTACTACATTTTCATGAATTCTTGGGAAGGTAAAGGAACAAACTTAAGGGGAACCCAGCACTGTAGGTAAGTCGTAGCACGACACTCAGGAAACTACTTGGTCAATTGATACTATTACTAGGTTCAAATCCCAGTCAGGCCGCATTGCCTGCACTTTAGCCTCCCTTTTCCCTCCTCACACTAGGTCTTGGACCTTTTTCATAACCCCAAAAGGAAAAGGAACAAACACTGACCTTCTAATGAGAAGAGGGATCAGGGTAACAGAAAATGTACAATATCACTTTAAGTTATTACCATTTCCCATATAGCCCCCTCTAATTCAGGTAGATATTCATGACAGGAAGTCTGGGAACAAATTGAGTATGTTTAATTAATTCATTAGTTAATGAGATAGGTTCAGCCATTCACATCATGCTAAAAAACAGTATAAACATCAAGTAGATATAAATATATCCAATACAGAGCCCACTAAGAAAGATTTAGTTATACATTATAGATAAACCTAAACAGAAAAAGAACAAACCTCGGGACCAAGAAATCGTTCATGGCCAATATCACAGGAATATGGTGCCCCCGTCTTTGGTTTAATGCCTCTCCATTGCTTGATATACTTAGCTGGTTCTTTGTCATGCTTATTAAATTCCTGAGAGAAATTGAGCTATGGTTATAAAGGAAAATTAATAAGACCAAGAGATATCCTTGCATCCCTTAATTCATAAAAAGGAAAGTAAATTAAAGTAGTGGGAAAGGTTTGACGTTCAACATGCTAATGCTAGTTTAAATAAATGAAAGACTACAAAACTAATGACACCAGCACATCACAAACTCCTCAAATGATAATGTCAAGGCAACAAGTACTGAACTCAGACACAACCTTCACAATGTCAGAGCAGGTGTAGCAATACATTTCCTTTACTTTCCGAGCCACTTCAAAAGATTCTTCTGGTGGTACATTCTCTCCTCTTTCCTGCATTAAGCAATGTCAACGTGAGACAGTTCATGAATCCGGATTAGCAAAATGCAGACTGACAATCGGATGTGGATTATTACAATCTCAGTCAGTACAGAATAATGATATAGCAAAATACATGCATAAGTTTCATACTCAATAATGAAATAAGAAAACTTCACTTCTACTTATTAACTATTAAACATGTAAAAACAATAAAATTATCGCTAATACATCACACCCTGTTAATCCATGATTAGCATTTACACATGATTGGTTTCACTAGCTAGTCTAAATGGTAATTTATGAGAAACTTCAACATTAAGAAGAGGTTTACAGCAATTTTCATATATTCAAATTTGGGAACAAATACCAGCACATTAGACTTCTAACCTTGTATGACAAGGATTACCTACCCGCATAAGCTGCTGGACAAAAAGAGTAACGTCCTTTCCAGCAATTGGAATCGATTTGATGCTACTGCCAATAACATAGCCATCTGCAACGGGTACAACATGAGCAGCCCCATCTCCAACATCCACGACAACTCCTGTCATCTCACACTAAGAAGAATTCTATATCAGCCTAAAAGGAAAAATTCTTTAAAAAGGAGATAGATATAATAAAAACCGAGAAACAGAATTTCTTGATAGGTCCTATTGTACTGTTATCAAGATGGAGTGTAATTATGCAGAACCAACTTAACAAGTTTATATACAACACAATGCGGAGAGCTGATAAAACATCCTAAGAATTTTGTGTTTAGATAGGTAGCAAAGTTGCTGTTGATGGGGCCATAGGAGATTTGCAGAAGCTTATATAAGTAAAGCCTTCAAGATTAATCATCCAATTCCAGTTCTACCAACATAATACACAATCTTTTTCACGAGTACCAATTACCAACCTTAGATGTTGTGTAACCAGCTGCAAGAGCAAGCACGGAATTCACGGCAATGTAAAGTCCAGGCACGTTAAAAGTCTCAAACATGATTTCCCCAGTATACTCGCGACTCTCAGGCGCTGTCAATGGACTCTCGGTCAAGAGAAAATAGTGATCCTCCGGATCACACCTCAAATAGTTAAATATGCACTGCTGCCAGAAGCGCTCCATGGCGTCCCAGTTGTCAACCTGGCCATGCCGAATCGGGTAGCTGAGATTGTAAGTGCTGCTAGATCGAGACTTGGAAAGTGCTTCATCCCCAATGAAGAAATCAAGATCCGCCATAACCCCTGCATTGTGCTGGGCGACCGAATTGCCCTTGGAAGAGCTCCTCGATTGATTCAGAAACGATTCGTTAACTGCAACCACTGTTGGAACAATAAAGCATGGCTCAACATTACCAGCAAAGCCCATCTTCGTATACCTGCAACATAAACATCATTTTCCAAATTCAGGGTAAACCCAATTCGTGTCAATCAATATTAGAGACAATTCTATGACAAAACTAAGAAAACCAAATTGGGGCATTCTAACAAACACATGGTGTCCCTCCATCTATATATATATATATATATATAAAAGAGGGCACGTAGAAGAGAAATGGGTGATAGAGATGAAGTAAAAGTGTACCCGGAGCCATTGTCGATGACTACAGCTGGACGAGAAGTAGAGGGGTCCATGAGAAAGAGCGAAAAATTGGTAGTGAAGGTTGGAGGTGGATCTGCGACTGAGATCCGAAAGTGAGTGTGAGGCAGAGGATCATGGTCATGAAGAGCGCAATAAGGAGGAAGAAGAAAACGACAAGAAAGAAGAAGAAGAAGAAGAAGGTGGTGTAAGCGAGGGTGATGGTGACGCAGACTTTGATCGCAAGTGAAAGGAGCGAGTGAACGCAAAATTGGGCAGATAGGAGTGGTTGGTGATACCTCTACCCATTTCCACTATAAACTCAACACAGCAGGTGCAGGTGCAGGTGCAGTTCCACGTCCCATTAACTTGATTGTTGTCTATTCCTAAGATGCTTTCCTTAGCAATCAAACAACACACGTCTCACTCTAGTCTAGTCTACTGCTTTTGGATAAAAACTCGTTGCTCCCTTTTACTCACATGAAAAATTTAAAAAAAATTCACCGACCACTAAAGTTTTTCTCTTGCTTTTGATTTCTTTATACATCTTTTATGAGATTAATATGTACGTTCACGTACGATAAAAAAAAAAAAATGTGACTCAACATATTTTTCACATGTGTAAAAAATAAAATTAATGTTTATGATATTTTATTTTTTATTATTATTATTTATTTTATTTATTTATATTTTCTGTTTTGGCCAAGTCTTACAGTCCAACAATACCTTTCTTTGTCAAAGCAGGCAACTTCATTTGTCGTTGGAGCGTGTATGGTACAAATGGGGCTGTTTTGATCCCACACCGTGCGATATCAACCAGACAACCACCACCCTGTTCCAGACTTCCAGGGACCCACCCAACATCAACATCAAGCGGTCTCATTTCTTCCTTAAACGCGACGCTGCTCCTTGCATACATTGGAAACATTCTCAATGCTCCAGCTATCCTACCCCTACGAGTATCCATGCTACCAAGGATAAAATTTTTGGTACATCATAAATGTATTCGGTATATTTTTTTCATATTTAAAAAAAATTTCACTAATTCTTAAAATTCTTTTTTCTGTCATATTGAAAAAAAATTCATTTTTGAAAAAATGATATACTCAATTCAACGACGGACTCACGTTGTTGTTCCTGACCGCACGTGCAGACATAAACTTTTAAGTAATTTTATTTTAAAGAAGGGATAATTAGATAAACGAAAAATAAAGGTGAAAAATTTCCTTCTCTATTTCTCCTACTTCTCCTCACATTATCGACGGGGCGAAGATGAGATTTCTCTATCTCTCTCTTTATTTAGTTTTAATTTTAGTTAAATTTAGGGTTTTCGAACCTCTTCTTGTTGCCTTGATCACGTTCTTGTTCTGTGTCTTAGATCGAGGAGGCACATTGAGCTCTTGGTAAGTTTTCTGGTTCTTGGATGAGTGGATTTTGGAGGGGGCAGGGTCTTCAAACTTTGCTTATAGCTTTTGATTTTTCTCTTTTTTTTGTTTTAGAGAAGTTCATTCGTATTCCTTAAATTTGTTTTGCACCTCAAAAATTGAGACTATGCCAATTTTATGTACGCTATTATACGGTAGCACTGGGTCCAAATTCCATTAATATTTTATATTGTATGGATGGTTGTTGTCATCAATTATGCCTTATTAATGTTGCATAGTTTGTTGATTCTAGACTGATTGTTTATTTGGACTCTAGGTTGTTTACAAGCAACTTAGGAACACTGATTCTACTCCAACTATTAAAAAGCCACATAATGATGCTTTGATGTGTGCATCTCCATGATGGATTTTCGTTATTATGTATGAGATTTTGATTATAAATAATTCTTAATGCAGTTAATTCTATTATAAGTTCAGTTTCTTGCAACATGCCTTATACATATGGTTATATGATTATATGTATATCATAACTTTAAAGTTATGTTTTGATCTAATTGAATTGTTCATTTTAGTTTTGTTGTCTCGCTTTTGTTTAGGTATGTCATGTCCTTTTTTAATCTGTGAGTTCATACACTTGTAGTTTAAAAATATCTTATCATTCCCATTGTTGGATATCTTTTGCTCTGGGTGGAAAGCTCCTTTTTTCATTATATGTGCTTTTTGTATTTACGGAAGAATGACAAAACTGTATATTATGGAATCAAAAAACTGTATAGCAACTTCGTATATGCCTTAACAGGATGCTAGTATTTTCCTTGTTATTTGTGAATCCTTGTATCCCATTACTTAGGTGGATGGGTGTGGAAATATTAGTGCTTTTAGCTTGAGAAATTAGGTATTGTAAAATTACATTGTAAAAAAAAAGAACCACTCCGCATTAAACTAGAGAAGAACAGGCGCGGATGGAAGTGCAAGACAATACTTTAAGAAATTGTATATTAATGTACCAATGTTAGAATATATTTTCTTTTCCCTTATTCAAGGCATCAAATAAAATATGAGCGCATAGACCATATTAGAGCAAAAAGTGTTAATAATTAAATAGCATGATTGCTATTTTCCTATCATGAATTGGCTTCTAAACATGAATAATGATATTTTTGTAAATATATCACAGCACATATCTAATGTTACTTATAAAATCCAGAGTGGTAGTTTCACTTTTTATAAAAGCTTGCAAAAAATTGAAAATGCTTATTAGCCTTTGACCTACGGGTTAATAGCCTGCGGAGGAACTGCAACTTCTTGCAAGAGATAGAACTAGGGCTGGCAATATGGGCCAGCCCGTCCCGGCCCGCCCCGGCCCGCCGCTAGCCCGTCCAAAATGGGCTGGTCCGCCCCGGCCCGTTTTGACAAAATGGGTTGAATTGAGTAACCCGACCCGTTTTATGAGTGGGCTGGCGGGCTACGGGCCAGCCCGCCTAAAATAAAAAAAATACAAAAATAAAATACAAAAAATTAAATTCTGCATAAAATCACATAAAAAAATCTGCATAAAAGCATACAAAAATCTGTATAAAATCCTAATGTGCTTATGAAACCAAGAAGATCAGTGTTTAATAATCTGCATATAAATATGCATCTTTCAATCCAAAAAAAATAATAAAAAAATAAAATCATATCAGGATAAAATAGAATAACAAAACAAGTAACAAAGTGTTGTATGAGCAGTCCACAACAATTCAAAAAAGCCACTTGCAAGCAGAGAAATCTAAGATACGGAGCTACATAACAATTGGGTAACCTAAAAAAAAAAAAAAAAAATGACTTGGCGGGCTGACCCATATGGGCTGGCGGGTTTGGCGGGGCGGGTTTGGCGGGCTGGTGGGTTGAAAGACTCAACCCAGCCCGCCCCATTTGGCAGGCGGGGCGGGCTCAGCCCATTTTGCCGGCCCTAGATAGAACAATCACTATTGTAAATGCAAGTGGAACAGATTCTAGTTAGTCACTTTCTTTTACTCATCAAAGGAGTGTTCAGTTATTTCTTCAGGCCTCAGGAGTGTTCATGTAGAATTTTGTTTGCCTTTATAACTTCAATGTGATATAAATACCAAAAACAAAAATATTACTTTGGACTAAATTTACTTTGGCAATGAACGTGATAATGCATTTTCCACAATATAATTCACCAAAATAAAGTAATACGGTTCCATTAAATATCATGCTTTGAGTCAGATTTTTACCCATAAATTACTCCACATGATTTGATAGAAGTAAAATGAACTCATAGATCCAAACATTGATTTATAAAAGCATGGAAGGTCTACTTTAAGTAAGAAGTTTCAAAAGACAATGCTTGGAAAGCTAGTTGCATACTTGCTTAGAGGATTTTTCTTTTTTTCATTGTTAAGGGGCAATTTATTTTACAATGACCCAAACATGATTGTTTGTTGATTCTCTAATCGATTTATGTTTGATTGTAATATAAGATAAATTGGATCATGATGTGAACATTGAGATTTGAGAGCAAAAACAATTGTGGGTTCGTAGTAATTCAACAAGTCTAGATGAAAGATAACTTTCTATATTTATTTATTTGTTATAACTGTTTTAATAGCAACAAACAATATAATTGATTTATGTATAAATTATAATTTATCAGGGATACAATCTTATTTCAAATGTCTAAAACCCACAAATACAGAACCCGAATCTCAAAAGTGCACACAGGTTAGTTGATTAATTCTTGATTACAATTTTTTTATGTTAAGTTGGAGTTTTATTTTCTCTTCTTGTTGATATATAATTAGTCTTGTCCTACTTTCTCTGTGACTTTTTTTTTTATTTGGGGTTTATTTTCAGCTTATATGCCTTATTCTGGCTTAAAAAAAGAGGATTGATGTCAGGTTTGACATTCTCAAATGAGTTAATCTTTAGAGATGAAGGTCTTCACTGTGATTTTTCTTGCCTTCTGTACCTGTAGTGTTAACTTTTTTATTCGCCGTTATAAATAGAATGATGATGTATGAATGTACTGGAGTATATTCTTATATTTGTTTTGGAGGATTGGTAAGATTTGAGAGGGAGGGGTAAATGATTGGTCAAACTATTGTTAACAGCTTGTTACAGAAGTAACTATATATTCTGAACGAGTTCATAACCTTATATATAAATCATTGATTTAAACTTTCTTTCAAAAAAATTCGAAAGCTCTGTCCTCAAATCCCCCACATTGAGTATGCGGACATAAACAAAAGTTCTCGAGTCCACCAGTGACTCAATTGAATATATTTTATGCATTAAAATTTTGTCCGCTCCCAAGGTTGAGTCCAATTATAGACACCTCGATCCGATTCGAACACAGTTCTGCTTTTCTTGAAGACTATTCTTCTCATTTTCAAAATTCGAACTTATATTAAAAGGAATGAAATATTTATTACTTGAACCTATATATAAATAAGATACTTCTATTCTAATGCAGCGTTTTAATTTTTTTTCAAAAATCAGTTCTTGACTGAATCATTTTTTATCTTCTTTATATTTATATTTTTTTCTCTCCCTATTTCTCTTCTCTTATTTATTTATTTACTGTCTTTTTTATTTCTTTATTTATTTCATTTTTCCTCTTATGTATTTTTTATGTTTTATTTAATTTTAATTATTTAATGCTTTTTTTTATTTTCATTATCATTTATATATATTTTTTAAATTTTTTCTTTTTCCTTCCATTTTTTTAAAATTTTTATTTAAATTTATAATTGATTTTAAAAATCAATTATGAGCTTATTTGAAACAAGTTCTGAACGGAATCAGTTTAAAATTGAATTGAATTAATAAATCAAATCAAATCAATTCTTAAAACTTAATTCAATTCAAGAATATCACCTTTTGGAGGAGAGACCAAAATATTTTCCCAACTCTTGG